CCCCTAACTTAAGGTCATGCCAAGGTCACACTCTCTTCCTGGAACAGCCTACATCCAATGACTAGCTGATGCAGCAACATAAAAGCCAGCTCCCTCCCTTCAACTTGGGGCCATCTGAAGGGCCATCCCAGTTTTAGAATTCCCTTTAAGGGTTGGTCAAGGCCTCTGTTGAGACTGCATTGCAGCCCAACTGCTCCCTCTACCTGATCCAACCTCCTTCCCTGCCAGCAGAGCTGGTGACCCGGAGACCTCTCCCCAGTAAACCGGTGCCACTTCAATCTACATTTCAGAGTCGGCTTCCCCGGAACCCGACTTGCAATCCATCTCGTATATTGCATATGACAGAGATTCAGAGCAGCTGTCTGGAGCAGTGACGGCCCCCTCTAAATCCATTCCCCTGCCCGCCAGCCACTGCTCCACATCCTGCTGTGCTTCCTGGTCACTTGGAGCACAGACTCCTCTGTGAGCCTCACAGCCTTCTTGCCTACAATGAGTAGTAGGCACCGATAGCACGTTGGCATGATGAGGCATCGCCTTGGCTATGCTAGGAGTGCCAGATGCCACTCATCACCTTGTCCCCTGCAGGGCCATGGGACAGACAGACACCACACTGCATAGACAGCCTCCAAGGGCTTCAAGGAGCCCCAGCAGAAGCTAGAGACACTGACCTGAAGGCTCTGGCCACTCTGGACAGCCCTGTTCGCTTGCCCCCAGGGCTGAAGGAATCAATATTTCCCGGAACACCACTGACCTATTTATGCCACGTGAAGCTCTGAACCTACACCCCATGGCCTGTGAGATGTTTTACCTTTATGTCCCTTTGGCGGAGCCGACCTGTTCACAGCAGTCCGGGTGCAGCATTGCTTGATGTAAAGGGAGGATATTCCCTGATCGGAAATGTCAAATAATTTAGTGGCTTTCTGCCCAACAGATCAACAGAAGCACATCATCTGCAGTTGGTACCAGCTAAGAACGCACTGCGTAGACAAGCGTTGTCCAATAGATCTTTCTGCGATGATGGAAATATTCTGAATCTGCACTGTCCATTCCCGTAGCCCTGGGGCTGTTGAGCACTGGAAATGTGGCTAGTGCAACCAAAGAGCTAAATGTTTACTTTTAATGAATTTTGATTTAAATACTCACATGTGGCTACCTTATTGAACAGCACAGGTGTAGAACCAGAGTTTAGAATCTGAAAACTTAAAATCACTTTATCCTAACCAGAAGGTCTTTCTGGGGTGCATTCCTCTCAGTTTACCCAGAAAAGTTTATTGTAACACACAGCCTTGGAGATTCTGTGTTCCTCTAGATCATCCATAAGATGCTAAGATTCTCCTAACAGTTTCCAAGAACTTCATCTTCACATGTCTCTAGCCAGAGGCATGCCCATCTATGCACTGTTGGTTTCCTTACTCTAAGCCCACTCATTTTTCATGACAAAATAGCCCTCAGGCTCTATCTCAAATTCTCCTACTCCCATCCCATCCCACAGTGATACCTTTTGGCCTTTGGTTTGAAATCTTTCAGATACCTCTGAAAAATTAAAGTAAATCTCACACAGGTTCCTAGGCCCACTTTTCCTAAATAAATACATTGGTTGGGCATAATTCTCATTTACAGATCACAATGCTGTGTCTCTGGTTGTTTACTTTGCCTGCTGTGTTTAGCGATGCTGACCTTTATCATAAACCTCACTTCCTCGGGAAACGGAGGGGAGTGCATTAGCTCTCTGGGTCCCTTGGGAGTCCTGTTTATACATAGGTGTCATTTTTAGTTCTCCAAGTCACTAGCACAGCATTTCGAATATAAGACACACATAACAGTTGCCTGGGCTTCATTCTTGAGCTTGTCAGGTAAGAGCCACCCTTGATGGGACATAACACATGTGACTGAATACTTCCTGAGAGTTGAGCACTGTTTAATCCAGCACCTCCAATTTCCCCATCTCAGGGCCTCCTTCAGGAACAGGAACCTCCCATACGTCCTCATTAGTAGAGAGCTGGCAGGACTGTCTCTCATGTGTCAGGCCCCTCAACTCAGTGGGAGGCAGCATAGCGCAGCAGTCAATTAGCGGCTTCTGGAACCAGCTGCCAAGTGTTCAGATCCCACCTCTGTCACTTACCACCAGCGTGGCTTTGGGCAAGTTATCCCAAATGGGGATCAAATGGGGGTTATCAAATGGGGGTAGTAGCAGTCCATCTCCCCTCGGGTCCTTATAAGGATAAAGCAAGTTGGTTTGCATAAAGCGTTTATTTACAGCAGGACTTGCCACAAACTAAGCGCTGTGCAAGTATAAGCCATTTTTATAACCACAAGCAAAGCTTTCTGCACTGGTTTTTTGGGCAAATTTCTGGCAATTTTTTTTCCTCTTTGGAAACCACTTAGGAGGCACTCTGTACAGCCCTCTGCTGCTGCTTTAGTCCCAGCTTTCCAGCCTTCTCTGTGGGCCTCACTCGGATTCTCCGACTTGCTTCCAGTCAGCCAGCAGGATTTTCCTATGTCCTGGAATCTGGTTTGCTTGGCATTTCGGTGCACATTTTCCCAGGTTTCCAATAATATACTTTAAGAGTTTTAGATTTGTAAATGTCTACCTCCACATTCTCTCATTCTAGAATAGAACAGATGACAAGGTTTTCTCCCAATTCAGCCCTGTGAAGTCTCATTTTTCCTCTTCTCTTCCCCCCCAGCTCCGCGACTTCCCTGGGGAGTGGGCTGGGTTGTTGTGGACCCCAGGGCAGAGTGACTGGTGTTCTCTGTGTGTCCTGAGGAGGAGGCAGCACCAGAGGGAGAGCTGGGAAGGTGGAGACATTACAAAGACAAATGCACTTTATTGATAAGGCAACAGCATGACACAGGGCTGAGGCAGAGACCCCATCCGACCAGGACCACGTTGGGGGTGGGGGTCCGATTCACATTGAGATGTGGCTGAGGTGTCCCTCCTCCTCCTGATGCATCAGCGGGGTGAGAATCCAGGGAAGGAAGGCGGGGTCCCGGATCTACACTGGTTCTGTCTAAAATCCAGAGCTTCCGCCAAGGGACCAAGTCAGGCCCCTGGGGAATGGGAAATGGGGTCGGAGCTCAAGTGTGGTCTAGTGAACCGCACACTGAATCCAAGTCCAAAGTCTGGGTCCGGTCGTGGCGTCACTTCTAACTAGTTCTATGGGCTTGAGTGTGTCACGCCCTCCTCTCAGGGTCAGTTTTCTTTAACAAGGGGGTTGAACTAGTTTAGCGATTTTTCAAGCCTTTTCTCCCACTGAATAGCAAGCTGGACCAACATATTCTGCAGCTAAAATCAAATAACAAAGGTCTGTCCCTAATTTATAAAATAACAACAACAAGAATGAATGTATAGAATTTTCACCATGTAAGTTTTTCCCTCCCTAAATATCTCTTCATCAGTGGTCCCTACCACCCACTATATTCGAACGTAGTACAAAATGGAGTCTGATTCTGGAAATAACTCATGCTCAATAAACGTAAGATTCAGCCATAAGGATGGTATTCTGCACTAAGGACCATGGCTGTTAGGTGTTTCTCCACCTGAAGAAACACTGGGCCAGGTGGGCTTTGCAGTGCTACGTCGGATTGCTCTGGGGGTTTCCAGGGAACAGCAGACGCAGGTGGAGCGGGCATCCTACGGACATTAACTCCCTCCTGTTGAGACATCAAATGCAATGTGTTCCCCAAACTCAAGCAACAATCTGAAAGACCTCTATGCCTCCTGGAAGAACCCCCTCTGTGCTGGTCCCACACACCTACGACTCACTCACTCACCAAGGATCCCCACCCCCAAGTAAACAGACGAGATTTCCCACCTCCTGGACTGGTCTGAGTTCGCAGTTATGGACCCTCCACCCCTGCCCTGCCCCACAGGCCCCTTCTGACTTTGGGGTTGTAGAGTGAGAATAAGAAGGGAACCAGCCCCACATGGCTCCACCCCTAGATGCTCTCTCTGACTAGACACCAGAGGCCAATCTCCTCCCTCCACCCACACTGTGAGGGGCTGGCGCACTAGCTCCTGCTTCTCCCTGGGGACCAGCAGTCTTGGAACCACACCTGGGTGGACAGGGGGAGCATGACTTGGCTGTTGGGTCTGGAAGTTCTTCTCTTCCCTCCCACCCTGCCAGGTGGAGAAGACGTGGCCCCTGCTGGTAAGCAGAGCGGGCACTGCTTCTCCACACTGTGGGGTGCTTGGGATAGTGGGCCGATCTCTGGATTACCCTTGGCCATCCCAGGGCGAGGCCACACCAGTGACTGCGGCCGCCGGGCGAGGCTCTGGAGCCTGCGGCAGGTCCTCTCTCTCTGGGGTGGGAGATAAGGAGCTGGCAGGGTGAGAATGAGGATGGTGCCTGATGCTTCTCTGCAACCTGGACGCAACTCAGTCCTGCCACATGGGTGGTCGGAAGGAGAGCTCCCACTTCAATCAACCCCTTAGATCCAGGCAGAGGAGCCCTGGGCTTGGTGACAGGGACAGCTATGGCCACCACCCACTACTCTTCTGTGAGGCTTAGCTTGTCTGTCCCCCACCACCTGGGCCCTGCTTTCTTCCCTCCTTGGGCCTCTCAGCAGGTGGGTTCTGGGCCAGTGGCCCCAGGCATGGGGAGAAAGCCCACCTTACCATAGCTACTTCCAAGGAGAATGCTACTATGGCAATGGGATAAAGTGGGCACTGAGGGGTTAGGCAAGTGCCTTTTGGCCAGCAGAGGTGGGTGAGGGGGAGTTGTGACCTTAGTCATCTTGTTTTTGTCCATCCTTGGCAGTGAGTGTCCTAGACAGGTCTGGGATGGGGAAGCAGAAGGAGAAGGCCCCATTGTGGCAAGCTGCCCTGGGACAGAACAGCACAGAGTGGTGGCAGGATGAAGTGGGGGTGGGGTGGGGTTGTGGCCAGTTATTTTTCATGGGTGGGGATGGGGGGAGATCCTCCCCAGGCTCTGGACAGGTGGGCCTGGAGCAGGGGGAGGTCTGGGTTTCTCTGTCCCTGAGGAATGGGTGTGTTTCTCCTGCTTGCCTGTTCCCTCAGCACCAGCCAGCAGCCACTTCTAGAGTGATGGGGGCATCCCCAGGCGAGGCCCTGCCTTCAGCCTCTGCCCTCTGCCCCTTGCCCCCACTTGAGATTCTTGGTCAAATAAACAGCAACTCTTCATGACTGGGGTCTTGAGGGACTGGGGGCAGCCTGTGGCCTGCAGGAAAGGGGGACCTGGTGTTAGGTTGGGCAGGAGAGAGGATGGGCCAGGCAAGGAGGGGAGGATGGAGAGGAGGGACTGAACTCCAGAGGGGGCAGGAAGGCCTGCTAGGCAGCAGCCAGCCCCAGGCCCCAGCACACGGCCCCGGAGGAGCAGCCCCACCCAGGCGCCACCACAGGCTGCCCTGGTCAGGAGATTTCGTTGCCAAACACCTCGAGCACGAGGGGCGTGAGCTTCATGCTGCTCTCAGGCTGGAAGGAAAGGCAGCGGTACTGCTTGGAGTGCTCCTCGTTGAGGCTGCGCAGGTCGGCCAGCTTCTGGATCATCTTGGCGTAGAGCTGGTGGCTGCCCGGGGGTGGGTGGCGGCAGCGGATGTAGGTCTGCAGTGTGTTGGACAGGCGGTCCTGGATGGCCTCAATCAGTGCGGGGTCCTGCACCCCAGGACGGTCTGTGGGCACAGGGAGGTGGGCAGAGGAGGCACAGGAGCTCTGAGCTGGGTCCCTTACTGTTCAATCTCCCCACCACCCTTGGCCCACACACAGACACCCAACCTCAGCATCCTCCTATATGACTGCTGACCTATAACATCACAGTCCTCCCTAAAGCCCCTCAACAACTTCCCATTGCATTTAGGATCAAGCCCCATGTCCATTTGTGGGCCCACCTTACCTCTCTCCCTCTGTCTCTATGCTCCATCTTTCCAGCAATATCCTGATGCGCCATGCTCTCTAGTCTCCACGCTTCTCATTTGTGTTCCCTCTGCCTGGAACTCAGCTCTTTTATCTTTGCCTGACTTACTGATCCTTCAGGTAACAGCTTAAAAGACCTTCCTCAAGATGGCCATTCCTGATGAGCCCCTACTTCCTTGTCCAAGACTACAATCAGATTCCCTCCTTCTATTATACCCTGCTAAAGTATCACGTACTTCTATAACTCCCTCCACATTAGGAATTAGTTGTTAAATAGTATTTGTTTAAGGTCTCCTCCTACACGTCACGGGAGAGAAGTCTGTGTCCTGTTTGCTGCTGAATCCCTATGCCTAACACAGTGCCTGGTACCCAGTAGGTGCTCAATAAATCCTTGCTGAGCGTATGAATGAATGAATAAGGAATGCTGGCTGGGCAAAGGGAGGGAAGCCCATGTTCATTCCTTAGGCCCCCAGCCCAGGATAGCATCCCTGGTCAGAGGCCACTTCCTTGTTCCCTGAACACAGGCCAAGCTGAGGCAGGGCTGCCCGCTTTGGTCCTCAGCACTAGTACAAGATCCTCAGGACCACAATAACCTCCTCCTTAGCCTCCCTCTCTCTTCCCACCCCAAACAGGCAGAAGAGCTCAAAGGTTACAGCACACTGCCTCCAAAATCTGTCAGGGGAACTGTCTATGCAGAACAATCCACAGGCCCCAGGGTTTTGTACCCTGCCCCCAGAGGACCTCAGGAAAGTTTAGTCCAGTGCACACAAGAGCAGAGCCTGAGTAATGGGAACATCCAGGCCTGTCTGTGGCCTGAGAAACCCCATCTATCCAGTTCCTCAGAATCACACCTATGAATCACCCACAATCTCTCTAGAGCAAGGCCAAGGGCAGTGAGTGACCTTTCATCATGTACACACCATATGGGCTGTGCAAACCCAGCAAAGTGGGTATTTCCTGTCTGTTTCTCCTTGCTCACCTCTCCCTCCAGACTGCTCTGCTGGCCCTCAGCAAGGCTTCCTCCTTCATACTCTCCATGTCTCAGATCCCTGAGTTCCTCACTGCTAGGCTCCATACCTGGCGAGACGATGCAGATGGCCATAAGCAGGACATGCTCCTCCTCATGCAAGTTCAGCTTCTTCAGCCCCATCTGGAACTTGATGAGGGGCTCAATCAGCTCCAGGCTATGTCCGGCTATGAGAGAGAATGGCCAGATGCTGTGGGCAGAACTGAGGAGCCACCCACCCCACCTCACCCTGCATCCCACTCCAACTGGTCCTGACCCTCACCCTTCTCTCTCTGTTGCTACCTCATCCCCTCTGATGTGCTTTATTGGGGCCTATGATCCCAAAAAGGTGGAACCAGAGTCTGGGAGCTAGAGAGGATGGTGGCGGAGCCCAGACTCACCTTGGGTCACATCACTGACACTGTACTTGTAGTCCTGGCTGCCACAGGTCCAGGACATGTCGTCCATGGTGAAAGACTGGTTGGAGCGCAACATGATGACCTCAATGGCACTTGACTTCAGCAGCACGATCTGGTCATCAGAGGTGAGGTCTCTGTTGGGGAGGGTAGGGGTTTTGGGGTCAGGTTACTGGTCAAGACCTTCAAGTAATGCAAATCAGCGTAGTGTTTTGACAGGTATACACCTGCCAGGTGACCAGCATGTGCCCTGGGTCTTCCATTGAGGAGTCTGCAGCCTAGTTGGAAAGGACAAGACTGATTGTTTCTTGAGGGAGAACAACTCAAGACTGTGATTATGAGCCAAGGAAAGACAAGGAAGACAAAGAAAAGGAAAGAAAGTCCTAAGACAAGGATAACCCAGTGACTTGCCAGGATCTCCCAGGCCTAAGCAGCCAGAGCTATTAGGGACAGGAAGATAGAGCCTGAGGAAGCTCCCAGGGTTATGGAATGAATATGGTGGTCTATAAAAGGTATGGCCAGAGTCATTTTCAACAACTCCCATGCTTTCTCCCCCCCCCCCCACCTCTCCTCCAGTCCTTCCCAGTACTAAAGCTCAGCCAACTCTTTCTCCAGGACACCTCTGATCCCTTGACCTCATTCCCACTCCTACCAGGACTGCTCTGGTTCAGAGCTCCACTGTCCTTTTCAGCTTCTCCCTCTAGAATCCTGGAGTCAAGTCTTTTGGGTCTCTCATTCATTTTCTTACTGCTGCTACAGGGAAGTGTCACTCCTGTGCTCAGAAATCCTCCTGATTATCAGACATCCAGGATCAAGCCTGTACTCTATAACTTGGTTCCAATCTGTCTTTCCAGCCCTGCTTCCCATCGCAAACTCCACCAACCCTCCATTCTAGCATCGTTGGACTAGTCCACAGTCAGATGCTGTGTGTTCTCTTGCCTTTGAGCATGCAACAGCTGCAGCTAAGAATGCCATTCTTCTTCTGTTCCATCTTGTCTTTCTGGTCCTGAATCCGGTGAGGTGTCCCTTGGAGCCCCACCCCCACCCCCTGATTCTCTTTAGCAGAACTGGAGCCATTCTAAGACCCACTGCACATTGCTATTTTGCCCTTTCCCCTTCAGCTCTGGTCTTTATATGCTTGTCTCTGGCTCTTAACTGTAAGCTACTTGAGGACCAGCACCACTTCTTAATTACCTTAGTGTGTCCCCCACACTGATCACTGAGCCCTGAGCACAACAAGAGGGTCAATAAATACATGCTGATGAGTCAAGAGGCCAATGACTAGTTCCACTACTTTGAGTCACAAGCTGGGCTTATGCAAACAATGACAAGGAAAAAGCAGGGCCCACAGATCAACTTGCTTCTGGTTTTTCTTTCCTTCTCTTCCTGACTGTGTATTTCCACCTGGATATCTTGTAGATAGGCTATCATCCTTTCTGTGGCTGCACTTCGGTTTGTAAAAGGATGGGAAGTGGATGTCAACTGATGAGAGTTCTGTGTCAAAGGTGATAGATGATGGAGAAGGAAAAGGCTGGCATGATTAGGATGGCCAGCAAAAGGTCTGCAATGAAAAAAAACATCACAAAGTGTTAGAGTTGGAAGGGTCTTCTTTAGAGGCTATGTGGACGATTCCTTCTTCAGTATTCCTGACAGATGGCTCTCACACTACCTCTGCAGGATTGTCCCAGTGCCAAGGAGCTCACGGCCTCTGGATACAGCCATGAGGTTGTTGGCTCTTGAGTTAAGAGCCTCTTCTATTGAGCTACAACCCACACTAAGCCACACTCACCCACTACTTGTAGTTCTGTCCTCTCAAGGAACACAGAACCAGACTTCTCCATTAGCCATGGGACATCCCTTTAACTGTTTAAAGAAAGCTATTATGTGCCCTTTGTGTCTTCTCCAGGATAGAGAGCCCTAACGACACTGTGTCTTGATGTCTCACCATCCTTGTCACTTTTCTCTAAATGCTCAATCCACATTCAAAAAAAAAACTAACACCACCCTCATTTGGGTTTTAACTCACTATACAAATAAAACATGTCCATTATTGAATCTTTGGAAAATACAGAAAAAATATAAAAGCAAATTAAAATTAGTCATACCCACAATTAACATTTTGGTATATTTCCTGCCTATCTTTTTTCTATGCAAATCTCTCTCTTTTTTTTTTTTGGTGAGGAAGATTGGCCCTGAGCTAACATCTGTTGCCAATCTTCCTCTTGTTGCTTGAGGAAGATTGCCACTGATCTAACGTCTTTGCCAATCTTCCTCTATTTTGTATGTGGGACGCCGCCAGAGCATGGCTTGATGATCGGTGCGTAGGTCCGTGCCCAGGATCCGAACTGGCAAACCTCGGGTGGAAAGTGTGAACTTAGCCATTACGCCACCAGGCTGGCACCTCTCTTTTTTTTTTTTTAACCTACTTGAGTTCATACTAATTCTATGTCCCACTTCCTACATCACTAAAATTTCTTTAGCCCAGTTCACAGTGGGCTGTCTAATGTTACACCATTTCAACATACCATAAGTTATTTAATCAGACTCCCATTCACCTATTTTTGGACATTTTGGTTGCTTCTAATTTTTGCTATTATAAGTAGTTCTGTGAGGAATATCTTTGTACATAACCCTTTGTTCAAGGGCCCACTCAAAATGGATGGCCAGAAGAGAACAACATCCACAGATGCTTGGCCAGAGAGATTTCAGGGGGACCACTGCCTATTGTGATCCAGACATGCTACTTCTATGAAAGCAAACCTAGAACGACCTCAAATCACCACCCCTAGCCTGGAAATACAGGGACTTTCTAAGTGCAGCTCACAGCCAAAACTGGGATGGTGGTGGGTGGGGGAAGAGATGGAGATAAAGGTGAAACCAGTAAGAGAGCTGTTGCTGCTGTGATAGGCACCAGCTCGGGCTCTGTTCCTCCTCCCTGGACCTGGGTAATATTTATACCCTGATCAGTTTTTACACCTGCAGCCGCTTCTGGGCACTTGCCATGTACTCTGGAAATGTGTTGCTGTCTCATCTTCCCACCCCCAGGCAGAGGCGAGCCCCTCCCCACCTGCATTCCCACGGTACCTCTAGCAAGCCTCTCTTAGCCTCTTATCTTGTTGGCAGCAATTGTTTACATGTCTATCTCTTCCATCAGACACTGAACCCCTGGAGGCCAGAGACTGCGTCCTAGTCAACTTTGATCCCTCACAGTTTGCTGTTTGTTGGATGGATGAACGAGGGACTAGAGAGGGAAGGGCAGAGGGCAAGGGAAGCCTTGGGACCCCCAGGCCTTTGACCCTGGAAGGAGCCCCTGGGAATGGAAATGGCAATGAGGTTGAAAGCATTTAAGCCCATTGGGCTGGGCTCCTGCCGATCTGGCCTCTCGCTTGGAACTCTGTCTCTTGGCAGTGAAACCCTGGGGTCCTTGGTTCTCAGAGGCAAGATTGCTCCTGGCCATTTAGATACTGCTCCTGACACCACTTCCTCCACGCATTTCTTTTGCAGCGCTGAGGGAGTGAGATTTGTGGGGCTCAGACTGAGAGGCTGATGCAGGGGAGGTGGGAGGTGGGAGGCGGGAGCAGGGCTGTGGCCACACCGTGGTGCACAGTTCACACCCAGTACAGCCCATCCAGTCCTGCCCCACTTTGGTCCCCTGCCTGCACTGGAGTCTCAACCTGTCCCCAGCACACTTACCCACACAGAAGTCTCATCCTGCCCTCCCCACACCCTCCACCCCTGCCTACAGGCAGCAAGATCAAAGCTACCGGGGACAAAGCCACTGCTCTTTCACTTCTTGGAAAAACAGAACCCCTAAGTGCAGAAACCGGCAGAACCAGAGAGCCGTTGCACTGGCCCGCCCGCCTGGGGTCCCGCTGGAGCCTGGGCTCCGGCCCCAGGCCAGGCTCAGCATCACCTCCGTCTGGCCATAGAAAGTATCCACATCAGAGTCCCCCCAAGAGCTCTTGCTAAAGCCTGCTCTATTTTTATTGGAAAACATTCCACTTGTGGACTTCTCGAGTCAGGCTGAAAAGAGAGAAGCCAGCCTAAGCATCTTCAGGATCAGTTTAACCGGTTTTGCATCAGTAGCTGGGCCGCTCTAGTACCTGCTCACATACTCCTCACTCTGGCCATGACTAGAGAGCTAGACTAAGGAAGTCTGGAAAATGAGGCTTGAAAGGGGAAGGAAGAGGGTAGTCACCGGGGAGAGAAATTGAGAGGCAGGTGGTGCTATTTGTGTCAGGGTATATGTGGTGAGGGTAAGGGATGGGCCCAAGGGCATGGGAGAAAAATGGGGGCTCAGGTTACTTAGTGGAGGGGGCTGTATTGGGGTAATCTAGTTAAATGAGTAACTTTCTTTTTTAGGACAGTTTTCCCATGTGTGTAATCCGCAACCACTTAGAAGCACCAAACCCTAGCATCTGGACAGGCTTCGGGGGCCCTCTCATCCAACCCCTCACTGGGCAAGGAAGGATTAACCCTGGGTAGTTGAGGCCTGCTCCCTGGAATCAGGATGGGAGCCAGGTGCTACAGTGTGTCCATCGGCACCTTGAAGTGCTTTTTCTCTAGCTGTTTACACAAAACAAGACTTTGGAACACATGGAGTTTGAAAACAGTAATGTGAAGAGTGGAGGAGGGAATTGGAACTTGAGCGAAGTGGAATCTGTTGTCAGTTCCAAGGCAAGGCTCTGGAGGGTAAATCCCAGGCCCATCGCGCTGCTGGTTCACAGGTGACACTCACTAGCTTGCTCCTGCCTGCCTGCCAGAGTGGTCCTGACTCCTTTTGCTACAATCAAAATGTGCAATGCGGTAAGAGTGTCTCAACGCCATTTGATATTTTTCTCTTTTTTACAATTTTCACATTAATTCCAGGGGAAGAGCCTTGGAGAATCCCTGGTATTTGGGTTGGTGAGAAGCATAAAATAACACAGAGCCAGCTGTCTCAGGCAAAAACAAACTGGGAAGTGCTGGGGTTAGCTCTGTGAATTACCATCAGCTAGCAGGCAATGTGGTAATTTAGACAGTAACTGATGGCTTCCCTAAACAGTAGAAAGATTCATGAAAGAATAAATGGCACCTCATATTAGTTTCCATCCAGAGCTGGCCAATCTCAAATCATTTTTCAGCTCCCAGTATTCTAGCCCTGAATCTAAGCATCAGTATGTAGGAAACATTTTGCCCCTTTGGCTACAACTGCGATGCTTGGTACTACCTGAAATGATGATGATAATGCTTAATATTGATTTATTTTTTTCTGTCTCTCAACCACATTGTGTATTTCATGACAATATTCCAAATGAGCTTTTAGAATGAATGAAGATAAAAATATACATAAATATAGATATAACTACCTCCCAACATATCCACTAAAAGCATCAACATTCTATCTTTTTAAGAATACTTAACACTGCATGACTATTTAAATGTAAGTATTATACATGCCATTATTACCAAAAGAATAAAACATTTGAATGAATGAATGAAATTTGTGTGAATGAATCCATAATGGAGGATCTCTACTCCAGTAAAATTCCTTATGCTTATCAATTTGGGCAAAAGGTTCTCATTATGGTTAAGAAATGGCTCTGGGTGAAGGGCAAATTGGATAAAGGATGCTCAGGTCACATATGCCAGTAAATCTGTCTCCCTCTGGGATTCCAAAATTACTTCACAAGTCTTCATGCCTAATCTTTTCTCCTCTCTATCACTTCATCCTGGTTTCAGAATTGGGTGTGGAGGATTAATGAAGGTTTAATTTAAAGGGATAATACTAAGATTAGACCCAAGCCAACTAGAGTGGACACAGTGGTGAACTAAGATTTCTAGACCTGGCTCTGACACAACGGTTCCAACACTAGAAATCCTGTTATTGGCCATTGAACCTCTTTGGGCTTCCATTCCATCATCCAAAGGGAATGGATAGCTCTCCACTGCTGGCCTGCCAAGTAATGCTGGATGGGCTACACGTCCTAAAATACAGATTCCTAGGCCTAGCCCAGAAATTCTGATTTAGGAGGTCTGGGGTAGGGCCTGAGTCTCTATTTTGGGAAGCAGTGGATTGGGGATCTCCGAGCCTTCTTCTGGCTCAGTCTAGGATTCTGACTCTCTTCCCCAGATGACTCAGAAGCTTCTTACCTGAATCCTGGGATCATCTTGGCAAAGCCAATGACCTTTTGGATGCTGTAACTGACCAGGTCAGCCAGGTGGGGCAGCATGGAGAGCTGGGACAGACCCAGGGTCACAGAGGGGTCATCTGGGTCTTCTTCGCTCAGCTCTAGGTTGGCGAGGCTGGTTGGTTCCATCATGTCTGGAGAAGGATGAGGGAAGAGAAGGAACAACTTAAGGATATTGAGCCAGGCCTCCTCCTGCTTGGCCCTCTGAGGACCTCCTGAGGCCTGGCAGCAGGGCCAGCTGGGAATCCCATGGTGACCGCCTCTCTCCAAGGCCACTCTTTAGCCCAGGCTTCCCTCTAGAAGGCCCCTGTTTTTCTTTCAGCAGAGTGGGGCAGGAAAATCAAAGATCAGAGACACTCCGAGAAACGAGACCTCCTCAAGCGGTGATTTCACAGACCACATGTTGTTCCCAAGGATCTCAAATCAAAAACGAATTTGGAACCAATAAACTTTTGCAAAACAATGTTCAACCTCACTAGTAACCAAAGAACTGCAAAGTAGAACATCTACACTTTTCACCTATAAACTAGAAACAAATCTGTTTAAATGTTGACACAAGTGTTTGAAAAGATGCAGGGAATGAGGCAACCCCTGTGCAGGCTAAAGGAGGCATAAATTTGTGCAAGTCTCTAGAAAGCTACTTGATGACAGGGGTCAAAAGCCTACAGTTATGTACACTCTTTGACCAGTAACCCCACTTCCATGAATTCGTCATAAGGAAAAAATTCCAAGTGCACATATTTAGCCACAAGCATATTCTTATCTTAATGAAAAGCTGGGGAACAATATAGATATCCAATGATAGGGGATTTAGATACATTATTGCACATTCATATTCCGGAATACCATGCAGCCTTCAAAAACGATATTCTAGATGTATACTGAATGACATGAAAATATGATACAATATACTATTAAAAGAAAAAAGAAAGTTACCAGATTGTGTATAGCGCAATTCCATATCTGAATATACATATGTGTTAAAAAAAAAAAGATGGAAAAGAGATACATCACAGTGTTAACAGTGATTATCTTTGGGTAGTAAGATTAAAGATTATATGTGTATATATATATACACACACACATATATAATTTAGTTTACATTTTCTGAATGTCTACAATGAACACGTATTACTTCTGTATAATAATTTTTTAAAAACTAAAAATGTTAACTAGTTTGAATTTTTAAATAAATATATGCTATACTGAAATATCATTGGTGGGGGTGAGCACCTCAAATCAATTAACCTATGAGAGGGAATCAAAACTCCTAAATATTATGGAATTATTATTAAAAGCTAAAATACAGACCAATGTATAACATGCAGATTGACCTTCATCGATACGAATGCCATCCAGGGAAAAAGCAGAAAGGTGGGTAGAGAAAATCAACACATAGGAGGGATCCCTACAAAGTGAGGGGCTTGGAGGGTCAGTCAATCCCCTGATCACCCTGTCTTGTCACTCCCAGGTGGGTAGACACGATGTCTGGCTCCACTGCCATCTCTGTCCAGTTGGCACAGGGGCCCCTCCCACTGTTCTGGATCTGGGGCCAGATCCATCAGTGAGTCTGGAAGTACCATATCTGGGGGTTCTAGTTACCAGAGGTGAGGAGGCTTTTCCATCCCTGCCAGTCCCAAGCAGAGGGCAGCAGGGTTGGGTGGGAGGTAGAGGGATAAAGGACAAGGGCAGAAAGATGAGGCAGAAGATGAAGAGGAAGGTAGAAAAGGACCATAAGAAGAAAGCAAGGATGAGCTGGAGGGGATAAGTCCTCCAGGCCTTAGTGGTCCCCCAGGGCTCAGGAGTAAGGCGGGCTGCAGTGAGACCCACATGTTCTCCTTCCACACCAAATTTCACCTTCCACAGGGCCCAGGCTCTGAAGCCTATAGCTGGCAATACTGTTTTGTATATCTGAAAGTTGCTAAGAGAGTAAATCTTACAAGCTCTCATTACAAGGGAAAAAAAAAATCTTTGTGACTATGTGAGGGGATGGATGTTAACCAAACCTATTGTGGTGATCATTTTGCAATATATACATATATCAAATCATGATGTTGTACACCTTAAACTTATACAGTGTTATATGTCAACTATATCTCGATAAAACTGAGGGGAAAATAAACAAAAACAAAAAACAAAATCCCAAAGGGTTCAGGCTCAAAATATCATTTAAAGGAACCAGGTCATCCCCAGGGACAGAGCCGGGGCAGAAGCCTGGCTCAGAGGAAAGAGCAAATGCTCTGTAGGCAGACCCTGCCCCACAGACACCCCAGCTTGGCCTCTTTCCCAGCACGGGCCCTTGGGCAAGTTACCCCTCTTCTGAAAAAGAAAGGGCAGGTGGGATGGGAAGCTCTGGGTCCTCTCCCGGCTCCTTTGGCCTCTGGGGGTGCAGTCCCACTTACCTGGAGAGACAAGGCAGTGATCTGAGCAGGAGGAAGACGACGATTCCCCGGAGAAGCTGGGCATGTGTCTTGAGGAGAGCCCTAAGGAATAGCTCCCTCCACCCTCACTTCTGCGAATTGGCGGCTGGAGGGGAAAGATGGAATGTCAGAAGCTCACATTTCTGGGAGACATTCCTACCTTGTCCCTGATCTCTGACAAGAGTGGCTTTGAGGAAGGCCTATGGGAGGGGGAGGCCTCCCCAGGGCCACAGGGACAGAGCAGCATCCATCCCTTCCCGGGTTCTGTGCCAGAATCTCCCTCACCCTCCACCCCACTCTCCACGTCCCAGCTACACTTGTGGCTCTCCTTCCTTCCCAGCCAGCGAGCAGCGGTACCCGGAACTGGTCGAAGTCGGCGTAGGTGGGGTCGAAAGTCTTGTGGTGGGCGTCCAGCAGGATGGTGATGGTGCGCTGCTGCTCCTCGGACAGCTTGGGCCGAAGACTGTCCTTCAAGGCCTCCTCCTCCTTCCGCTTCAGGATCATCTCCCGCTTCCGCTGCACCTCCTCATCCGTCAGGATGACTGTGGGGGCAGGAAGGGGGGAGTCAGGCGGGCTGGGCCTGCAGCTCCTCAAGAAACCTTCCTCCAGGTGCTAAAGGCATAAGAGGGGAGGGCTGTTCCCCACACACTCAGAGCTCACTGGGGCCTCCCTGCCGTGGGGGACTCCAAGCCCATGATATGGATGGAAAATTGAGTTTTCTATGTTGAAAAGGCAGGTGCATGGGAGAAGAGGAAAACAAGGATTTGAGAGGTGGGATGGTCTGGGGCTGAGGGAGTCTGGGTTCTCAAGAACAAGTTGTATGACTCTGGGCAAACTGAAGTCTCCAGGCTTTTGTTCTCTCATTTATAAAATGAGAAGTTTGGACCATACAGTCTCTTCTCAGGTCCCTTTTTTGTTCCTTCCTTCATAAAGTGTGTGTATATGGGGTGGAGGAGTGATAACATCTACCTCAAAGGATCGACTGTTTTGAGAACTGAATGCATGCCTGACGTAGGACAGATGCTCTATTAAATGTTAGCTCTCGTTTCTTCTCCCCTCTCCCCATAGTCTGTGATCCTGAGGGAGACATCAGGGTGCAGAGAGGGTGAAAGAGTCACTCTGTGGCCAGTCACAGTGCTGGAAACTAGGAGATGCTGAGAAGACCCCTTGACATGGCCATTCCCATGTCCAAGTTTCCAGACATGGAACTTGGGCATTTGATCTACTCTGACCAACTTAGACTTTGCCTCTTTGGTTCCCTGCCACAGAACCCCTCCTCCACCTGTCTAGTCTTGAAATTTCTGCCCAAGGAAACTTTAGAGTCCTCTAGAAGTCCCTGAAGATGACACCTCACAGCTCTAATCTGGGAAGTTCTCTCCAGCTGCTGGTCAGGATGTCAGACCCTACCCCACCTTCAGGCTATGCAGGGGTTTTGGGGGTGGTGCCTGCCTCCCTGTGCTGGGGCAGCTGCCCAGAGGGTGGGGCTGGGAGCAGGGATGCCTGGCACAACAGCCGGGCAAACGGAACTCCCGGCCGGGGCTTGCAGAACTCTGACAGCAGGAGTGGGCACCACGGCCCTCGGCCTGTAGCTACTTGCTCTGTGCTGGTGTTGCCCGGGCCTCTGCCCACAGAGCTGGGGAGTTTCACAACAGCAGGGAAAGGAACCAGAACACGGGATTGCGTGGGTTCTGGGCTTCGAGAAAGGCTTATTGGTCCAGGCTTCTTAGGTCGGGGGAGGATGAGAGAAATTGTAGGAGGTAAGGGAGAGGCTATGGGGGATTAGAATGGGCCACCAGAGCCTTATGCACAGCAGAAAGGGGAAGCCTGCAGCAAAAGATGGCACATTCCCTCCACAGCTGAGGTAGGACATACCAGGAGGAGGACTGAGGAGGCCACACCCAGGTACTGACTCACCTGCCCAGAGAGCTGCCAACTCCCCTCCCACAGAGGGTGTCTGCTCAGATCCGAAGAGGTCAAGTGAGGTGGAGAGGAAGGTGTGGGGAGCATCCTATTCAAGGCAGGGTGCAAGGCCCTAGCCTGGGGACTCCAAGGTCAAGTGTCTGGTCTTTCCTGCTCAGCTGAGGGGTGGGCGGAGGAGGCGACAAGACCGGAGCTAGAGGGGACTGGCTCTGCCAGCCACGCCATGGGTGTCCACAGGCTTGAACCACCCCTTGTGATACTGTGGTGTCACTCTCCTGCTCAGAAAATTCCTGGATCCTTCCTGCTTACCATGTCCAAACTAAAGGCAAGATTCTCCATGATTTCACTTCTTCCTAACTTTCCAAGCTCATTTCCCAGTGCCCGTGGACACAGCGTCTGCTCTAGTCCTGTTGGGATTGCTGACCTGTGAACACGACCTGCTCACTCTTGCCACTGCATTTCCACTTGTGCTGGATGCCTGTCCAGCTGGGTCTTCTCTCCCCGAAACCTGTGCAAGGTCTATCAGCTCTTCAGCACCCAGCTTACAGCCCTCTTCCACCATGAAGCCTTTCTTGATTGCCCTCATCTGCACTGAGCTCTCATTTCTTATTTCTGTGGTACGTCTAGTTTTTCCCATACACATTGGCATCCAATTGTCTTCCACTCTGTAATATTTGTGGTTAGTACAGGTTCCAGTAAATGCCTATAGAGAGAGAGCTAAGAAGTTCAAGGTCTCCTTCACTAGCCTGTAGACTACTTAAGGGCAGGGGTCACATCTTACAATTCCTGTGTTTCCCCCACCAAGGCCAGCCCAGTGTGGCTTCCTGGCCATGGTGCTTGCTCAGTAGTCTCATAGATTGGACACCTAACACATCAATGCTGATTGTACCTACTATGTGCTTGTCATTGTCCTGGCTCAGGAAAGGACAGTGCACCAATGCTGCATGTACACCCTACCACATCGGGAATGGCATAGGCCAGTCCACCGATAACTGAGCAAAGCTTACAAGTTTAATTTAAATAACTGTGATTTAAATATTTTCAAGACAGATTACCTTCTAACGGAACACCTGTAACATCATGTAACCTTTTCTTGATGATTCAGAGGTATCATTCTGAACAATTACTGTACTTTGCAGGAACAAGGTTATGACCTCGGAATTGTTTAGGGCTGTTTTCCTGCACTATATGACTCAGCCTGCTTTGATTTTGAGTTCTTGTGCTACTTTTCATGGCTTTCAGTTTCCTCCCTTCTGTGAAGCTACATGTCGTCTCCTCTCATTGGTGTCTATCTCTAGAAGCGAGCCTTTATCCCCCTTGAGAGTTACTTCTAATCTGTTGGGAGCAGGACATACTTGTGATCGAGTTTTATGTAATAAAGATAGTGTTAATAAAAATGGATAAAATATAGAGAGTTTTTTATGTACTAGGCACTATGCTAAGTGCTTCTTTCATATTGACTCATATATATTTAGTCCTTGTAGCAACCCCTTAAGGCAGGTGCTATTATCCCTATTTTGCAGATGAGGGACCGGAGGCCCAGAGGCTCTACCTGTTGCTCAAAGTCACACAGCCATCAAGTGGTGGAGCTGCTATCCAGGCCTGGGCAGTACGGTTCTAGAGTCCGTGGTTATAACCACTACCCCACACTGCCTCTGATTATAATCGGCTATGACTGCTCAGTAGGACTCTGGTCCTCAGCCATGGAACACACAAAGTGTTCCAGTCCATCTGGAGAGTGTGAAAAAATAAAGTAGCAGAGTCTGTAAATGATTTACTTTAGAAGGATGAAGTTAAGAAGATTCAAGGTTAACTTTCCGACATTGTTCCTCTGGATCACTTGTATCACACACGACCACCAACCTAGAGAGAGAAATGCTGAGATCTGCTAGTTTCAAACGGGGGTGCCAATCCACGGGGCTCCCTCCAGGTGACACGGTCTGGGGACTGAAGAAGTCTTAAGTATCACATATACAGATGCTGTTGTGATTTATGAAATAAATCTTTTGTTTAAAGGGGTTATTAATTTCATAGGAATTTTTTTTATCATTTTTTTCAATGAATTGCTACTAAAAATACCACTACTATCATGTAGGAGGACACCTGTTTTGAAGTTAAAAGCCTTTGACCTAGAATAAGAGCAGATAGATTCTGAAAGAGCATTTGCTGGGCTCTCCCACAAATCAAGAGCATGAGCTGTGACTGACTTTGTGAAATCCGTATGGCTGCTCGGTAACTTGTCTGCCTTCCATCTAGGCTCCCTGCTGAGGGTGCAAACGGTTTTGCTCAAGTTATTCCCGTGCAAGACATTCCCTGTTCCAGGAAGTCGAGAATCGAGTTAGGGAGTCAAGATCTGAAAGCACAAACAACTTGAAAAAATTTCAAGTTGCCCCTGGAGGCCTACGGACAGCATCAAGGAAGTGGGGATCAAGCTTTTCCAAGTGAATGACACAGACAGTGTCCGGTTTGGGATATCTTCCTGATCTCTAGACCCACAGGAGATGGAGACATACAAAGAAGCATGATGGGGAGCTAACATTCAGTCATTCAACACCTGCTACCTGCCAGGTGCAGTGCTCATGCTGGGTAGAAGAGACGCACATCTGGAAGAGCATGAAGCAAATTAACACGAAATGTGCTTCTGTGCAGGACAGATCTACAAGAAGCAAGAACTCAGCTATGCGATTTTTTGAGCTCAAGGATGTAGAGGTCCCTAGGACTTCAAGAGAGAGAAAGGGAGTCTTCAAGGGGAACAAAGCCCTCCTCAGCCCACCCCTGAGGGCCCCAGGCAGTGCCTGGAAGCCCATGTGGAGGAGCTCTGGCCCTGCGGGTGTCTGAGGGGCTGCGCTGGGGTGGATGGAACCCACGGGCCTGGACTTTGGAAGCAGACAGACCAAGGTTAGAAGGCCGATACCCACGTCTTATTAGCTTAGAGATGTGATATTTTAATTCCTCTGAGTCTCCTCATCTATTAAAAACAACAGAAGTGTTTACATATTTAGGAATTGTAGTGAGAATTTAACAAGCAAGGGCATGTGCCTGATGCTGTATCTGGCCCTCAGTGGGTGGTCAATAAACCTTCATTCCCAGGCTCCTCCCCTTCCCCTCCCCATGCCTCTTCTAGGGAAGGGCCCCACCCCCCACCCCCTCCAGAAAGGAGCCTGGTTTTGCAGCTCCTTTCATGGGAGCCCTAGAGTATCCTGTGGTTTTACCCATGTTGACACTCAATTGTCTCTGGGAGGCTAGGCCTTGGGGACAACAGCCAGCTCAGGTGACAAATGAGCAGCTCTCCTAGAGTTCTGCACTAGGAGCTCCAGGCCCAGGCACACTGACAGGCATCCCACAGCTGGGCTAACCTGGCAGGGAGCTACAGTTCCCCCTGGAGGACCTTCCCTGCAGGTCACTGGAAAGAACAAGCCTAGAGGGGGCTCTGGGGCTTTAACTTGAACTGGGGCTCTGGGGCCCAGACCCTGAGAGCTCAGCCCCATCAGCCCATCCTTAATTCACTATAGGTCCCTACTCTGGCATCACGACAGTGGTGGGCACGGAGCTCCACTGGGTGTATAGCAGGATGGGGGCCTGGGGCTGCCCTGGGCTATAGCGGGATGGGAGCCGGGGGCTCCATGGGGGAGGACTGAGGCTGGGGTTGAGGTGGCTGAGGCATAAAGCTGATTAAGGGCTGGTGGTGAGCATCTACTTCTGGATTGCTGGCCCACCTACCATGTGGGGCAGGGGCACCCTGATACACTCAAGGCCTGCTCACCACCATGGATACAGTGCTCTTTGTGGGGACCAGAAGGATCTAGGAGGGGACATGGCGTTGGATTCTAGTTCCAACATGCTTTCTGACTCTAATCTTGATATTTTTACCTTTCTGGCTCTCAGATGATTTCTAAGTGTTCTTCCTACTCTAAGTTGATAGAACATCTCCTTCCTCCTGAGATAGGAGATGGGGCTCTGGGACATCAGTGAGGGTGGCCCTACCAGATCTCCTGTGGCAGAATCCCAATGGTGTGACTCCATGCCAGTCTTGGTTGGCTGGAGCCTTAGAGCCAGGTTCCCTGCCCTGTGGAGGCTGTACGATCTGTGGGTGCAGGTGCTGGGGCTGCGAGCTGCATCTTAGTCTACCCTCGTGCCTCGCACAGAGCAGGCCCCACTAAGTCGACACGTGAGAAGCCCCACAGGGCACCCAGGCATTGAGCCTCCACTGCTCCAGGATAAACACAGGAGTCGGGGTGGGGCCGGGGACTGGGCTAGGAGTGATCAGCATGTCCAGGCCTGCATGTTCCCGGGGGGGGGCGAGGAGGAACGACAGCCTGGAAACTTCTTCCAGCGCTGCCAGTATTGGCTGGGGAGCCAGAATCAGGAGTGAGGGGCTATGACCCACCAGAGGGGAGCCTGTCAAGGGCCTCCACCCTGCCTCTGTTTCCCAACAACAGAAAATTTGTTTTCCATCAAGGAAGACATTTTCCATCTCCTAAGACCCACCTAGTGACTTTTCCCTTATTAAGGATGCCTCTTTCCTGTACCTGCCCCCCCATCCCTGCCAGAAAACAGCCCCATAGCCAGGAGGGCATCCAGGGTGCCTACATCTGAGCACCCCTCCTGAGCCTCCCAGGCCCACAGCTCAGCCGGGTATAGGCCCTGCCCAGGGCTGGGGAGGGGGTCAGGGTGCAGACTGCAGGCAGAAGGGAGCCAGGGGCAGGGTGGGGGCTGAACGTGCAGAGGGCACCCATGCTCAGGCCGGTCCAGTGCCCTTACCTCCAGTCCAGTGCCCTTGCCTCCAGCCCAGGGAGGGCCTGGCTAGCCCCTCCAGGGTCTGCCGAATTCAATGGCTACCCTGGTTACCAAGTAACTGGTACTTGAGCTCAGATGCAAAGTCCAGGGGTTGTTTTTAACGTGAGTCAGAACATGTGGATCTGCCCTGTTGGCCCTCTCCTCCAACCCCAGAGCTGGGCAGGAAGTCCTAGAGGATCGCTCCTCTTTCTCCATCTGGATCTAGAGGGTCATGCCAGAGTCCAGTGCTTCCCCTTATCACATCTTTCCACCTAGTCTCCCCTGGGCACCAGCTCCCAGATTTGCTCACAGCACCAGAGTGCCTAGAAGGCTGGGGTGGGGTGGGACCTGACACCAGCTAGGCTCTGAATATTTATTCTCCACATCCCTCCTGCCCCTCCCCACCCAGGCAAGCCTCTCTCCCAAAGTCCCAAGAACCTTGGAGTCCTAGAGACTCATCCTTTCCCCACAGGTCTAGGGAACAGGGAGCTGTGAGAATAGTGATGATGTCTTGGAGGAGGACTGACCCGGGGGCTCATGAAGGCAGTGCCCTGCCTTCCTCCTCACAGGCCTCACACTGGGGGGGCCCTTCCCAGGCCTCCGAGACACATATTCAGATCCTAAAGAGGCTCGCGGGACCCATCGGTGCCTTTGACCCTGGAGTTCCACCCACACTGCCCCAGGCTGCTGGTCCCACTCACGCCTCAGCGCGGGACCCCGGATGCCAGCAGCGAAGGAAGAAGGGCAGGCAGACCTCTCTGGCCAAACCTGAACACACAGGAGCCAGAGCTTTCCACTGACACCAGTCCCGCTCCAGCCGCCCGCCCGGGTCCTGAGCACTCACACTCCTTCATCATGCCGATGTCCACGCAGCGCTTGAGACGGCAGGCCTGGCAGTGGCGGCGGTTGTCCTTGGTGATGCGGCAGTCCCCATTGAAGGGACAGGTGAACAGCGCCTTCCGCTTCATGCTTCGCCTGCCGAGACAGCACACGCCCTCCCCCGGGTCACCCACCTTCCAGCCTCTAAACCCTGGCTGCAGGAGAACAGCCTACAGGGCCTGTGACCACCGAGACCTGCGCACGAGGCTTCCAGATCTCCATTTCTCCCACAGAGGACTGGGGCCCATCCCAGCCCCTGGGCCACTCTGTGACCACCACACCCCCATCCACCCGTGGCTGTGTGTGCCAGCCGCACCCTCCTCCTTCACTGCCTACTCTGCTCCCATCATTGTTTTTATTTACTTTTACAGCACTCTGCTCTCCCTCCTTTTTTGTTACACAGGAAATATATGAGTGAATTAGCCTAGGAAAAATTTTTTAAATACTGAAATCTGCAGAGTAGCCCTCCCTGCTTTTAGTGAGCCGTGATAAGAGGCGAGGATGCGGGTCTTGGCTTTAAGTCTTCTAGGGTCCAGAGATCTATAATGAAAGCATCCCCAATCCAGGGACAGACATGTGCACAGGTGCATGGAGAAGGGAGAAAAGGACCAACCACAGCTGTAGACGTTCAGATAACCTGCCCAGAATGAGAAGAGGCCAGAGGAGCGGGTGGGAGCTCTGAGGTCTGGCCTCGGCTTTTCAAAAGGCAGAGGAAGCAAGGGTTCTGTAAGAGCGGAAAACTACCAAAGATTCTTCGCTAGGAAGCCAGCACATCCCTGGTATCCTATGTAAAAAAGTGTGTACTTGTGCCTGTGTGGCCATGTACAGCATGACAGCTCATTTTCCTAATTCCAGCTTTCTCTCCTGAGCCACACGACATGGGAATTTTGGGAGGCCACATAAAGGACACCCCCCCTAGAGGCCTCTCATTATCCGTGTTCTAGAGGTTCCTCTTACTCTCCTCAGCCCCAGCAGGGGCAAGCCCTTCTTTTTTGCTGCAGGACAGGTGACAGGATGTAGCAGGGAAAGATGGTAGTGGAATCACTTTCTCCATGAGCAGCAGCATCTTCCAAGGAGCTGTGGAGACGCCCTAGCCTTCAAAGCAAAGGCCCAGGATCAACCCTTTCCCTCTCCAGGGGATGAGCTGGTAATGTCATCTTCTCCAGATGTCACACTCTAGTTACGTTTCTTGGTGAAAAATGGCTCACTGTTCACATTTGTGAGAACACACACGGGTTTAGGACAATCACACCCATCAGTCAACATGGACGGATGGGGGCCAAACCAACTTGACCTATGGGAACAGTGGAGAAGAGACCAGAGGAACAGCTCTCCTGGTGGTCACAGGTAATCAGACTCTAAGATCCTTAGGGGACCCAAGAGACTGTTAATATACCCCCACATTTTCTAGATGGGACCAGTAAGGCAGAGAAACTTATCAGTGAAGTGATTCAGCAAGAAGTGAAGGCTCCCAAGTTGGGACCCTTAGGTATCTGAGGCTCAGCTTTTAGCTTCCCGGATTGAACAGACTGTTTCATCCTCAGAGACTCAAGGTGCTCAGTGAAGCTGAGCCCACAGGCAAACAGCTCCAGGCAGCTGGCCCTTGAGCACAGCTCAAGGCAAAGGACGACCTAGTGGTTCCGGAAGTAGCTGCTGTTCGCTTTGGACCTTGGCCCCAGGACACTCCTGTCACAACCCTCGTCATCCAAGGGGCCCACCAGCAGACCAGGCCATATGGGGGGTAGAGTAGCGCTAGGCTATTGGGGGTGGTCTAGCCCCAAGTCCAGTCCACTGAGGGCTGCATCCAGCCCATGCAGTGACTTCCCAGGGAGAGACTGTACACCGGGTTCTTGCGTGCCTATATGGAAACAGGAAGCCTTTCTCCTTGAGCCTCTATCCCTCTATTGCAGCTTTCTAGAGGGACAGGAGACTATGGAGGTACCCTGAGAACTTTGAGGGCCACCCAGAAATGAGATACTGTCATCACCATGGGACATAGCTATCTATTCCAGGACGTGAGATTCGTTCCTCTTTCACTCCTTTCCACTTTGTACTTCTTGAGGTTCCAGCTGTTACCACAAATGCTCAGGCCCCAGAATGCCCATAATTCTCTAAACCTACACAAAGACCAGGAGTTTCTAATTCAGAGCAAACTCTCATTTTCATTTTTTTTTTTTTACAACCAGGCAACTTGCCTGGGGGCCGAGGGGCTGCTTTACTCTCCCACCACTGTCTTGTCTGGCTCAGAGCTCTTCCTATTAATTCTCCAGGGCCATGGTCACTAAGTGAAGCACATATTGGGGCCCCAAAGACCCATGAGCCAAAGCCTCTCTCCAGCTGTGTGCTGGAGGCTGAGAGGCTCCCAAGGCCCTGGAGGCAGCAGCCCTGCATCCTTCTAAGGCTGCCTCTCCTTCCTCAGGCTCTAGGGGGCCTGTCTCTGATCTTCACCAGAGGGCTCCTCGCCCAATGGCAAGGTTGCTCGGGAAGAGATTTTGGAACTTCACCATCTTTCTTTTCTTTTTCTCACGTTGTAAATTTGAAGCCCAATCCCAGGCTTCCCCATACAGGAGAGTTGGGGACAGCCGCTCAGCCCAACTTCACCTGACAACAGGAGTGGACTCTAATGAGGCTGAGGGTAGGGATCCAGAAGAACGCAGAGCTGGGTTAAATTAAAATACAGCGGGGAAGAAAAGCAGTGCCCGTGCGTCCAGCTTTATAATTGTAGAATGAAGCCCAAGAGCATTGAGATGAAAAGGAGCAGGAAGAGGACAGGGAGGACCATGATGACAATGAAGAGGAGGGAAAGATGGAGAGGAAGGAGGAGGAGGAGGTGGAGGAGAAGAAAGAAGGAAAGGAGGGAAGGAAGGAGGAGAGGGACACAAGGACGGGAAGAAGGAAGGAAGGAAGCCCACCAAACTTGCAGTGTGTCCCCACATTATTTGAGCAATGCAGAAGCAGCCTAAAAACTTTCATAGATTATTATTATTAAAAAAATATGATAACCAGCTCTTTCCTGGCTCTGCTAAATACAGAAGCAGAAGAAAGGCCTTGGACTTGTAGCTGGGAAGACGGAGGTTACACATCACAAAGAGCATCATCACAGTCTGGATTGTGGGGTCAGCGTTGGGGGATGGAAAGCTCCTTCGTCAGCTCTGACAGGCAGATCCAGCTGCCTTGCAGGTGCGTCCGACCCGGCATGGTTGTTTGCTGGGCCACAGTTCCTGTGGGCTCTGAGGCCCAGTTCATCCCCATTCTCCCGCCTTGTAAGGGCACTTCTACACATGTGGCTGTCATCTAGCCTCTGCCCACAAGGAGTCAGGGCAGCCAGACTGGCCAGCCCTGGCTCTGTGCTTTGTCCTGAAGATCCACATCCTGCCCTGCTTTCTTCCCAACACTAATTGCCTGTGAGCTGGTTTGGTTTTGAGAAACAAGAGCCTCGGGTTTCCATGGGAGCCAGTTGCCTCAGCTGCTCCCTGAGCCTGGAACCCTGTCATCCTCTGGACGGTTGGCAATTATACCCCAGCTCAGGAAGGGGAGTAGGGGTGGTGCAACTAAATATAGACACAGTTTCTAGAAAGCCAGGGGTTAGAGAGGACATTGACCGATTCTTGTGCCAGAGACCAATTCATCAAAACATGAGAGACAAGCAGCTCACAAAAGTGTCAAGCACCTGGGACAGGAGGGTCCTTCTAAGTAGGTGACCCCTGCCAGCAGAGACACATGGTATAAAACCCAAGCCTGGGGCCAAGTACCAGCTCTGGGCTTTGTCTCCGCTGCAGGTCTGACTGTCATAGCAATCCCAGAGCCTGGTCTGGACACAGGAGCCTGATGGAGCTCCTGATGTGAAAGACCAACATGGTCTGATAGGTGGGACCTACACAGCACATTCATATGCGGTAGCATCAAGGTGTTCTCAGCAGGTGGGTTAAAAAAACCAACTTTAAAGGAAGGTAGGTTAACACTGGTAAAGAGCCCACATCCCTTCTTTTGGACGGCAATTTGGCAACTATCTACCAACATGTAAAATGCACAGAGCCTTCCACACAGTAAATCTACTTCCAAGAATTCATCCCGTGGGTAGACCAGTCCATGGGCCCAAAGACACATGCACAAGGGTGGTGCCTGCAGCACTGTCTGGAGAAGCGGAGGATGGAACCTAAATGCCCCTCAACAGAGGACTGGTTCATTAATTCACAGTAAGTACCTCCACACAAACGACGTGACTGTGAAAAGAACAGAGGAAGAATGCTGAACTGGGAGCAAGCTTGAAGAAACATTCTTTAGCTGATAAAAGCAAGATGCACAGGGGCCAGCCCGGTGGTGTAGTGGTTAGGTTCACGCACTCCGCTTCAGCGGCCCGGGGTTCGCAGGTTCGGATCCTGGGCGCGCACCAGCGCACTGCTTGTCAAGCCATGCTGTAGCAGAGTCCCATATAAAGTGGAGGAAGATGGGCAGGCATGTTAGCCAGGGCCAATCTTCTTCAGCAAAAAAAGAAGAGGATTGGAAAAAGAGGAGGATTGGCAACAGATGTTAGCTCAGGGCTAATCTTCCTCACACACACACAAAAAAGCAAGATGCAGGACAGTGAGGACAGTATACATGCACGTGTGTGCACATACACACAAACACACTTCCACACTTTACACTTCCACACTTTACACAAAGAATCCGCAATCGAACACAATGAGCTGGCAACAGTGACAGCTTCTGGGGAGGAGGTGGGGCCCCAAGAATTGGGTTGAGAGGGAGACTTACTTTTCACTTCTATGCCCTTTTGAACTGTTTGCATCTTTTTTAAAACCATACATAGGCGTTACTTATTAAAAAATCCACCACCCACTATAACTATTTAAAAACTAAAAAATGACATACAGGCTTTAGTTAGACTGATCTGTTTGGGTTTAAATCCTAATGCACAACATTGGGCCAGTTACTTCATCTCCCCATGCCTCAGTTTCCACATCTGTAAAACAGAAGCAACCCTACAGAGGGGGATTGTTGTAAGAATTAAATAAAAGAAGCAGCACCTGACACAAAGTAAGCACAAAATAAAAGGAAGGGTGAGAAGCTGGCAGCGAGAGGCAGTGGGCGGGAGT